GACTACTGAGGAATGGCCATCCTGAGAAGCACAGATCTCTGGAATGGACTTCCTCCAGAGATGCATGACCCAGACAGCTTCCCCCCACAGCCAGACTTCCCTGGAGAAACAGCCCTTGTCTGGACTCTGAGATTCAGAAATGCTTAACTCCCAAGGAAGAAGCAGAGATGGGGTGTAGAGACAGTACCCCACTGTTTCCATGAACATGTAGCTCTTCCTGCCCTGCCTCAGTTCCTGTCCTATGATTTGGGGTAAGAGTCCAAATGCTATTGCGACCCTGACCGCTGCTGTGTGCCAGCTGTCATTCTCTAGAGTATGTTTACCGATCTACCTGAAATGTATCTGTATTACATAGAATTCCCTCCTCCCAGGTAACAAGTCTGAGAGGGTTCAGATGGTTGGAATGAAAGGATGAGAAGGTGAACAGCCACTATCCTTCCTGACCCCTTGCACATACATAGTCCATGTATGCATCTCATGTATGCATAGCCCATGCATGCATCTCATGTGTGCATAGCCCATGCATGAATCTCAGTTATTTATAACCCATGCATGCATCTCAGGCATGTAAAACCCATGCTTGCATCTCATGCATGTATAGCCCATGCTTGCATCTCATACACATATTACCCATGCTTGCATCTCATGCATGTATAACCCATGCTTGCATCTCATGCCAGGCATGTATAGTCCATGCATATTTCTCATGCATGTATAGCCCATACATGCATCTCATGAATGTATAGCCCACATATGTGTCTCATGCATGCATAACCCATGTGTGCATCTCATGCATGTATAACCCATGCATGCGTCACATGCATATAATAACCTATGCATGCATCTCATCACTTAACCCTCTCCACACTTGGTAGACTAGACAAGGTCTTCCTGTACCTTGAACCCTGTTCCTCACACTAGCTGTTCTGAGACCCAGTGCCTCTTTCTGAAGCACCTCCTACAGCCCCTGTCTGCTTCATCCTTTGTCCTTGCAGCTTGGCTTTCAGACTCATTTGTCCATTTCTTTTCCTGATGAGAAAGTTCCTTCTACCAATCAGTACTCTTTACCAGAGCCAGGCCTAGGCCTTGCATCTCCCTCCTAGAGGTCTGCCGTGCATTCTCAGTACAGAGTTGCAGGGCCTGATGCCCTGGCTCTCAGCAGGCTTCCAGGACAGCCTCTGGAAGCATTGTTCTTGGGGACATTGGGGACGTGGAGGACGGCTGCTGGTGGAGCCCTTCTGGCACAGTTTAAGCACAGAAGCTTCGTCCACCATCTATCCCATTGTCCAAGAGGCAAGCTGAGGCTTTCCTGCTCCCCACAGCTTGCCTGCTACTCCCAGAGTCAAAGAGGTAGGTGTGTCCCGGACCCTGTCAGACCATGCACCCCCTCTCTGTGCTGGAGGGTTGGCTGGCCACCTGTTGTTAATCTAACCTGATAACCCACCCTGCGCTGTGTCAGCAGTTCAAAAGGGCACTGTTAGTATTTTTTTGCCGACTTCAATTAACATGAGATTTCAGAGGCCTCTCTGATCACATTTCATCTGTCATAAGTCAGGAACAAAACAGACAGACTCCAGTCGAGAGGAGGAAGGAGTTTATTGCAAACAACAACCAAACAGACAGTCTGGGCTGCACCCGACAAAGGGGATGCTGGGAGCATCAGCTGCCTCTGCCTTGCGTTCCACCCGCCTCGGCCCCTCAGCTCCTCGGCCCCCTTCTTCCCACATTCCTCCCCTCTCCAAAAGATGTAAGTGCAATAACTTACTTTAAAAGAAAAGAATGTTTCTTTTTTTAATATTTTGCTATAATGTAGTTACATGGTGGTATAGGCAGTAAAATTTTATGGAACAGACCTCAATTTTTTTTTACATTTTTTTCTGAAATTTTAATGTATTTTAATATATATATTTATATATTTGAATGTTCCACCCCAGGCCATTAAGCTAAGAGAAAAGTTGCATTTATACAGGGTTAAACTATCTTACAAGAACAGCCGCTATTTGTTGAGGTTCATGTTCCATCTCTCACTCAGCTTCTCTCTCTCTTTTTTTCTGACCACTGCACACCCAAACAGATTATTAGACACTGAAAACAGTCCTCCAAAATCAGTAGTATACAGGCCTAGCTCTATGTGTAAGTGAAGGGGGATGGGAGGGGGGAAGGGTGGGAGATACTGCCCAGTGGGAACTCCTCCCTATGGCATCCTTGCAGCAGAGTGGGGCTGAGGGAAAGAAATAGGAGACTGCCCTGGTGTGAAATTGTAAGGTTCTAAATTAGCATCCTGGGGGCCAGATTGCTTGCCTCTCTCCCTCTGCTGGGTCTGTTTGTCTCTATACCTGACAGTTAGGGTCATTCCTATTGACCTTTAACCTCGAGTTCCTCTGAGTCCCCAGAGATGTTCTACCCAAGGATAGCCCAGAGGGCAATTGACCGAGTAAAGGGGACATGGTGGTTTCCATAGAATCCTTCCTGTCTGCTCAGGGACATGGAGCATCTGAACTGTGTCCAACCTGAGCCTGGCAGTGTGTGCTGGGGAACCCACAGATCTTGCCTAAATCCCCACTCATCCTGTTCCTCAAAGGTGGAGACTGTGATTGTGAGAACTGAGAATCGGGAAGAAACAACACAAAGAAAAACAAGGAGGTGTGCCTGTCTGCCCCAGAACCTTGGCCCTGTGCTGTGAAGGGGCTCCTGGATAGATGCTCTGAGGCGGGCGTAACTGCCCTCTGTGACACAGCCAGGCTGGCAGGACTAAGCATGGCCACTTACTATGCTGTCAGGCAAGGCTGGCCTCAGCTCAGTCAGCTTCCTCGTCTAGCAGTGACCACCCAGCAAGAAGTCCTCTCTCCTCATTGGTGCCTCAGTCTCTTTAGGAAGCCAGGTTGCCATGAAGGACTGCATTACTTACTTTACAACATCCTAGGGGCTCAGACAGGGCCACTAGAGACAACAGGACCACACAGTTCTCTTCTGGATAACTGGGAAGCTGAGGATGTCTGAGACATGAGGGAGGCCTAGTGGGAGCCCAGGACATCTCCAGCTGTCCCAGGCATTAACTGAGACCAAGGCCTTCCAGAACAGCCTAGGTAGAAACGGCTACATCTGGAAAGATGGTGGAAGGCATGTCAATTCTTGGCTGTGCTGGAAACAAAGGGGTATTTCTATATACTTTTTTCATTCTGAAGCTTCTGGGTTGGAATTTTCCTGACTTACATCTAGCGTGGCCGAAAATAAAACTTGGAGAATTTAAACATCACTCCCTTCCAGAAGAATCTACCAAAAGCCCTCTGTCCTTTCTTCTTCCTGAGCTGGCCTGGCTCTCAGTCTTTATTGATTATCTAGGTATGAACTCCTTTCCCGTCATGCCCTTCCCCACCCATAATAGCCATGAAAGAAGGACCCCAAGATGTTGCTTCTGGCCTTAAGTCCTTCCTTCTCTTGATAGATTCTGAGGAAGTGAGTTAGTTCTGGAGAACTTATAAGACAGACCTAGATCCTCAAAGATCTGAAGCATTAAAGCCAAGCCACCAGGAACCCTGAATTCAGTACCCAAAACCTTCTTTGCCTTCCTAAGATCTTTTTGAGAACTAAAGTTTCTGAAGAGGTCCGACTCTTGCTAGGAGTGGCTGACCCAACCCGGAGTCTGCATTCTCCTGAGGGCTTAGTCTGTCTACATTCCAGAGCAGATGAAGACACACAGCAGAGAGTTGTGCTTCCCTCTCACCCACTGAGCCCTAGGGCAGATCCAAGCCAGGGGTCCTCGTCCTCAGCCCAACCTGAGAGGCCATTCAGAGAGCTGAACCCTGGGCCTAGTGAGCCAAGCCCACCTTGTGGACAATAGTCAAGGCAGAAGGTAGAAAAGGCAAGTGTGTCTCCTCAGGTAAAGGCCACCTGCTTGAGGGACCTACCTCAAGGGTGGTTCTGTGCTCCAGCTCAGGTGAGGGCTGGGGCCACTTCAAATCCTAGTTCCTAGCTCCGGGTCAAGTCAGGTAGACAGGGAGCCCCTTCCTTCAGATAGGGGACTGGCTTCAGGAGGACTTCCTGCCATGGAGACTGGACCTGGTGGGGCTTGATGGGAGGCTTTCCTGAGGCCAGCCGAGGCAGAGATCATGGCCCCTGGGGAAGAAGTAAGGATAGCATCTCTAAGAGGGTGTGTAGGGTAACTGAAAAGCAGCTCTCCTTTTAGCCTAGAGGGACACCGATCTCCACCTACCCTTTATGGAAAGCTCCAGCAGATGTGACGCTGTGGCAGGGTGGTGGGTGGGCATGGTTAGTCTGAGAATAGAACGGCCTCCTGGCTGGAGGCTACTGAGCTGGTCACGTGTCCTCTGCTCCTGACCCCTTCAGCCGTGCCCTGTGCTCAAGCTGTTTTGTCTTCCAAGGTGTAAATTCTTCCAGCCCAGGACACTGCCCAGTAGCCCCAATGAGTGACCAGGAGGGAGAGGACAAATATCTCAACTCCTCCCAGAGGGGCCCTGAGGAGATGCCAGTGCTGACAAAGGGACTTCTCCACCGCAGAAGACACCAGGTAGTGCCCAGGTCCAGCCCACTGGATCATCTCCACGGTCATCATTCTGAGAGCTTCTTTGTCTCCTGATGGCCATGTGTGGTGGTAATGATGGGAGTAAAAAAAAAATCTGTGTCCTTTCCTCCCTTCACAAAACCAGCTTCAGGAGCAAAGGCTGGCCCAAGTCTCCATGGGGCTTATGGGTGGACAGCAACAGAGTCCTTCATCTCTGTGCCCCCCCTCACCTCCCACTTCTACCAGGTACATCCATCCCAGGGGACAGTGAAGCTACAGTCAGGGGGCCCACTGGACAGGTGGGTGATCAGATGCCTTCGATACAGAAGGTGGAATTCTATGTGTTTTCAGGGAGCAAAAGGGGTCAGGAGCCGACCCTGCATGGCAGCTTGTCACTTAAGACACACAGCCGTCGGCTTAGTGACCAGGGGTCCCACAGGAAAAAGGAAGGTTAGACAGGGCTGGACTGTTGAAGCCGCTAGGTCTGGAAGGGAGCCTAACTTTGACTCAAGTCAAACGGAAGGGGTAAAAGAACACGAAGAGAGACAGGGCCTCAGCTTACATGACGCAAAGCTACACACAGGGCCACCTGGCTTTCTCTACTGCCTTTGGCAGGGAGCAGGGGTCATGACCTCAGAGCCAGGGAGGGGCAAGAGCCTACTGTCGCCCCCTCCCTCCCAACAGTCCCTGGGGCCTCAGACTTGGGGTGGCTGAAAGTGCTGAGGGTTAGGCCCCTGGGCCAGGCCGGGTTCCTAAGAGGAGAGTCAAGTGGGAAGCTAGGGGCCTGGAAAGCAGGGGCATGGCCAGGGCCCCAGGGAGGGGGATGACATCAGGAGTGGCAGGAGGGATTCTGTCATGTGGCCCAAGAGATGGCTGCACTGTGCTCCTTGGCCTTCATGCGCAGGGCAGCAATGCTTGAGGTCTTGCGGTCTGGCTCGCCGTTCATCTCGTAGCCATTGAGGCCCGGACTGATGCCAGCTGCTCCAAACAGGCTGCCCATGTGTGTCTGGCCCACATGACTGCCAGCTCCAGAGACACTCAAGAAGTCGGAGACACTGCTGGCCCCGGAGCCAGGAGGGTGAGCGTGAGGGGACATACAGGCAGGCACCGGGTCACAGGGGACCACACAGGCTGGCACTGGCGAGGCAGCCCCGTTGTTGCCAATCCAGGACGGGTTCTGAATCTGGGGACAGTGAAGGGAGAGATGTCATAGGCCAGCTGGAAAGGCAGTGGTGTAGAGGGGCTCTTACCCTTTCCAGCTTTCCATCATTACAACAAAACCATGCTGAGGTGTCTAACATTAAGGATGCCCAGGGACCACTAGAGGTGAATTTATGTTTTAGAATTTCAATTTCCAGGCTAGATCCATACCTGATATTCAGTAGCAAGGATTGTGTTTTAAACTGCCTTAGGGTTCAGGCAAAGCATTGCTCTGGATTAACCTGAGAGCACCTTGTTGGGGGGACACAGGCTCTGGGCTTGCAGGTTGGGGTAATGTGGGGATCAGTGTGGGAAGCAGGCATCTGAGTGCTCCCATAGGCCCAGGCCCATGCCTAAGGCTCCAGGACAAAACCTTTGAGGCCAGCAGTGAAAAGGTGGCCCCAGCCCTGAGGTGGGGTTCAACTATACATCTTCTTTTCCATGGTCGTAATTTTTCTCTTCCCAGCTCCCATGTCTGGCCTCAGTGTTCTCTGCTTTCTAAGCATCTCCAAGGAGGTGAATCTGGGGTGCCTGGATCCCCTATGAAGAAAGGACTAGGTCTTCTCAACTATACACTCTAGGCTCTCAGTTGTTCCAGCAGGATTCTACTAGCCTGCCCACCCCTAAGGTGGCAAGAACTCAAGAAGGCCTTGAGAACCACTAGGTGGGCACTGGGTCCTAAAGGCCACAGGAACTTCTAATGCTCCCAAGAACTTCCTGCAAACTGACCACGTGCTATTCCTGGTCCCAGCATGCCCCAGAGTGGGAACAATGTGATCGACACCCCTTCTTAAACTATCTAGACCTGAGTCTGTGGGGCAAGTGGAAGAGATGGGCAAATGTCTCTTGCTAATTTCCTCCCTCTAGCTCTGAGTTCATATGGCAGCCATCAAGGGCAAAGAGCAAGAGCCGGAGGTTGGCCCTGGGAAGACAGAGGGAGAGAGGAAGTCAAGCATTAAAGAATGTGACCAGAGGTGAAGCTGATGTACTAGACACCCCTCATTCCTCAGCCTCACAACGAGATCTGCCCTCCGACCTTAAAATCCTGGGGGAGGTGGAGGAGGTACAGAGCTGATCTGGGGCTGGGGTGGGATGGGCGGGGCCTGTTTGATAGCATCGCAGCCATGTGTACTTAGGAGCACTGGAGACTGGCAGCTGGAAAGTCTCAGGACTTATAGGAGACTTAGGCAGAGGTGGATCATGAGAGAGGTACCAGGGATGCACACTCAGACAAGAGGACATCTGTCCAGGGTGCCCTAGGTGCCTGACATCAACTCACAATGCTCCTTGTTCTCGCTGATGGACAGGGGAGAAGTTGCTGGAAAAAGGAAGGGAGACTGCAGCCAAATGGCTGAGTATCAAGCCCATGCAGCTACCTTCTAGGGACAATCACCTTAGACCTTACAACAATGTTACAGAGGAGCTGAAGTGGACACTTACATTGTGTCCAATTTATACACAAGGAATCTGGGCCCCAGAGAGCTGGAGATACACATGAAGAGCGCAAGGCTATAAGACCCTGAGGAACCTTTACCTTGGGCCCACGTGCATTTCAACCTGGCCACAAGTCCTTACTATCTCAGCACATCCTTCCTCTGGGTTCCCTGAGGGACAGCCAACACCCTGAAAGCTCCTAGTCTTCTGTCTGCCAGATGCTTACCACAGCAGAGGACAACACTGTCCCAAAATTCTAGGTCTCCAAGTCAGGACAAACAGGCACACACCTGGCGTCTCTGAGCCTAGCCCTCCATCTCGCTTGCATCATCCCAAGCCTAGGGTCAGAGGGAACATAATGGGAAGGGGGATGTACCTGGGCATAATTCTCGGCTCGGGTGAGGAGGGGCAACTCATAGGCCGTGGAGAAGTGGGTCCGGACCTGCTGCATCTGCCCAAAGCGCTCCCTCTTTCGCCACTTGGCCCTCCGGTTCTGGAACCAAACCTACAAGACAAAGCAGTGGGTGGTCACAGGGGTTAGGCCTTGCTCTTAGGCAGGGAACACTGCTCCTGCAGTGACTTCACCAGCCAGGTGTGTGTGTGTGGTGTGTGTGTGTGTGTGTGTGTGTGTGTGTGTGTGTGTGTGTGTGTTAGGGGAACAGAGTCATTCTGCACCTTTTGCTCTTTGGTATGGGAACTAACTATGTAGAATTGTCAGAGTTGGGAAGACTGCCAATACTCCACTGGCCATCAGTGTGATTTTGATTTGGGGCCTAGCTTCAGATACCAGATCAGACAAGTATTACACACACACACACACACACACACACACACACACACACGGGGAGACAGAGAGAATGAGCACAAGCCATTGGTCATTGGTCTTCCTGGCACTGTAGATCTGCAGAGGGTCACAGACCCATCAAGCTGTGAAGACCTTTTCTAGAAATTTCTTCCCTTAGCCAATCACATACAACCCTGAAGGCTCATGGCTCTCTAGGACATATTTATAGATACAAGTCCAGAGTACACACCTCTCTGAATCCTTTTGAGAGAAACCAAACCTCAGCTCAGAATTCCTTCCCTTGTGTTATGGTGAGTGAAACCTTCTGAAACAACAGTAGTCAGAAAAAGATGTGTAGACACAGGAGCTAGACTGTGAAGGGCTGCGTACACTGGCTGTGGATTTGCCCTCAGTGAGGTGTCAGTAGGGGTGGCTGTTGAAAAATCTTATGCAGACTGACTGATGTTGGACAGGTAGTACCTGAAACTGAGGTATGGGTGCTGGGCCATTGGCTTGACCAAACACTGAGCCAGGAGAGAGGTCTCAGAGTCAGATGTGGGGTGGCTGAGAACCTTCCCGAGACACAAGGAGAAAGGCAAGGGTAGGCAGCTACCTTAGGGAACGTAACTGTTTATAGACAGGGGAGGATGCAGTCAGAGAGGGTGGGAGAGGAAACACAATGGGAAGAGGGCGGACCAGGTGCTTCCTAGAGGACAATGCCACCAGCTTTCTCTCTAACTTCCAGTGGGCTCTGTAGATTCAGATGTTTACAGGCACTGCTCAGCTAGGAGTACTCAGTCCGTCACTTGCAGGCCACATGTACCACAGGATAGCCACAAACACAGCCCAACACAAAAGTGTAAACTTGCTTAAAAACACTTTTAAAAATATATTGATCTCATAACTCAATTAATTGCATGGTCCACCATTGTGAGCTTTGTTGATGATATCATATTGCAATGGCAAAGGCTGGGTGGCTCTGTGCTGCTGCGATCTGCACCCAGGCTGCTATTTGGGGCCTATACTATGAGAAAGACATTAACCGGGCAGGGCAGGAGCTCCCCTAGCCATGACAGTCAGCTTCTGTGGAGACCAGAGTAGCCTCTCCACCATCCTGCCTGAGAACACCCAGACTCCTCAAGAACCAGGGCAGAAAAAGAAATGGGGGCTTCCCTGGAGGCTCTGGCATGGGAGACTTTTAGAGTATCTTTTAAAATGGGCCCGTGGCAGTGCCAGAGCTGCCAAAAACCTCAAGTTCCACATCCTTAGGATGGGGCTGAGGTCGGGGCTGACGTCAGAGTAGAAATGGAGACAGCAGATGGGAACACAGCATGAAGTTTCTAGAACAGTTGAGCTGTTTGTTTATGACTCCTGACCTCATTCTCTTGCTGAAGAAGAGTGGTCAAGGTCTGTGGGATGTGTGTCTGGTGAGGAAGGGAGGTGTGTTCCTCTCTAGCTCACTCTCCATCCCTAATCTGACATATATACACATTACACACAAAGGCATGGAGACACAGACACATACACACACACACAGACAAACACACACACACACACACACACACACACACACACATACATATACACACGGAGTGTCCTTCCTGTGACCTCCCTGGAGTCCAGCTCTCTTCAAGGCTAAGGGTCTCAGTCCCTGCCCCAGAGCCTGGGGGAGGGGTACTTTTACTCTGAGTAGTCCTGGGGTGAAGGCCCAGGATGCCCACTGGGAGAATGCAAGACATGAGGGCTCTTCTGCGTGGTGAAATGGGATCCCCCTTTATCAGCGGCTGCAGTGGGGGCTGGGGCAGGCTGGAGGAATCAATCAGAGGGGCTTGTTTTCATTTCATGTTTAATTTCCTGCAGACTGAGCTCAGCCTTCCGCTCCATCCTCAGCCTCCCAGGGTTTTTTGGAGGGGGGGCACTATAGGCACCAAAATATACAGCCCCACTCCTTCCTCTCTTTGGGGGAGTGTGGGGTGGGCAGAGGCATGAGAAGCTGCTGCTGTGGTTTTGTGTCTGTGGGTTCCAGGTCTCTTTTGTGGTAGGGTTGTAGAGGTATGTGATGTCACTGAGGGATGTGAAACTGAGGACCTAGGGATGCCTGAGAGGGATCCAGAGCATCTAGAGGAAGGAGTTGGGTGAGGGATGGGAGATGGTACTTGAGGGAAGTGTCAGTCGGGGTAACCAAGAGCATTGTTTGGGGGAGGATGTGGGAAAGGGTCATGGTAAGATTCATTCGATGGAGGTGGTGGCAGATGAGGCAGAGTAGAGAAACCCAGATCAGTGGGGCTGGCCTACCAGGGACCTCCTTCTCCAGGTGGTCCTTTGTCCCTATCTTTTTACTCTGTGCCTGAGGCCTGAGACTAAATTCTGCCTTTTCTGTCCCCCAGTTGGCGGAAGCTATTAGCCTGGCTGCCTTCAATGCCTTCACATCCTCTATAAGTATCATGGTACCTGGTACCTCCCTCTGTGCTCCAATACATGTTTCTGTGCAGAGACTTGATGTGTCCTCCCATCTCTGACCCCCAGCTGTGCCTCTGTATCTCAGGGCCCTGCAACCACAGCCTTGCCTCTATAAGCCCCCAGGAGGAGAGCTCACCAAGGTCCCTGCTGTGCTTCCATTCTGGATGTCGCAGCCAGGACCACCCCGTTCCCAGCCCACCCGGGCCTGGCCCACTCAGCACAGGCCTCTCAGGAGGACCAGGCCATTCAAGGAACCAACTGTCTTGGAGGAGGCCTCTCTAACCGCAGCCCATCTGGGGCCAGGGTGGGGTGGCCCAGGGCGGGGAGGCTTCAGTCTCATTGCCTTCAGACACCAGCTGTGGAGATTGGAATCCCAGACAGCAGAGAGAGGCCCTGAAGCCCCCTGGAGCAGGGCCAGACCCCAGGCTGTTTCCCATGAAAGACCATCTTGGGACCCCCCATTGGCCCCTCCCTGTTCCTGCCATCAGGGTACACCAGACACCTGGTTTGCCACCAGCATCCAGAGTGTGGGTCCTGAGAAACTCCACAGAGGCAAGCAAGGCAATTCTAGTACACCCCTGCACTCCCCCCAGCCCCAGGGCACTGCCAGGCTCAGAGCTCAACCCAGAGGTTTGACGCACATGGAGATCCCACCCACCCTGCTGCCTTTGTACAGAGTAAAGTCTAAGAACAATCTGGCATGTGCCTGAGAACAGCAAGCTAGCCAAAGAGCACTGGCCCCGAGCTGGGGTGTCCTGGATTCCAGACTCAGAACTGCTTCTGCATCCTGGTTAACTCTGGGCAATCACTTCCCACATCTGGGTCTTCCTTCCTCATCCAAATATGGTGTGGTGTTTTCTGAACTACCATTCAGTAATTCTCTAACCTTCCTATTCGACAGGAAGATAGAAGACACATTAGGGTTTCCCTTTCTACCTTGGCTGACAGGAAGCTCAAGGCTGACTTTAAATAACAAGGAGCCTAACCCTGGAGGGTTTTTACTATTTTTTAACATAGATACCCCATTTTTTGAAATGGTTTCTGACCTTAAACAAAAAAACAAAAACAAAACTCTAATTGTAAATTTTCTCAACATTTTGGAAGTAGGCCTGGGTATGTCTCTGTACATCAACAAAGCATTTGCCTGGCTATATAGCAGTGACCCAGAAATACTTGGCCTGTATCGTTCTTGTTTCCTGCTGTGTTCCCTGAACTCTGTTCCAGACATGCAACGTTCATTGAGAAGGGTTCATGTGGTGCTCACACATACACAGGTGCACACATACAAGCCGAAAGCAAGCAGGTTTACTCCACCCCAACATGCTACCTACTTACTGGTACTGTGGACTTGCATCCAGCTGCTCCCTTCTCTACCCCTTTTGTTCTGCCCCCAATCCTGGGCAGAAGCTGGGGCTCCTCTGGGAGCTCGAATCTCAGGTAGGTGAGGCCTCATGCGGCATGAGAGGGCTCTGGCATGGCAATAAAGCCCGGCTGCAATGCTGTTTGGCATCAAGCCATAAGACTGCAGCATGCTCCAGCAGCTATGGTGTCCAGGGGCTACAGGCTTCCTGGTATTTTCTACGTGCCCAAGCTAAATGGCAGATGCCTCAGTGTGTTGAACAGGACTTGCTGAAGCTGATGGTCACTCAACTGGTATCTCGGAACCACCAGTAGAATACAAGCTATGGTGTCCATGAGTCTGCCCAGGACCATGGGGCTCTTTGTTCTGACCCTCTGGGGTCCAGGCCACAATGCTGTACCCATTAAAAAGAAAGACCATCTTGGGACTGTGGAGATGGTTCAGTCTGTAAAGTACTCATCATGGAAGCAAGAGGCCCTGACTTCAGATCCCTAGAACCCACTGAAAAGAACCAGGCATGGTGGTGTACATCTGTAACCCCAGCTCTGGCAAGTGGGGTCAGAGAGGAGGCTCAGTGGTTACCTAGTCTAGCCAAATTGGAACGCCCGGGGTTCAGAAAAAGATCCTGTCTACAAAATAAGATCAGGAACAATTGAGAAAGACATCTAATGTCAATCTCTGGCCTACACACACACACACACACACGCACGCACGCACGCACGCACGCACATGCACACATATACGTATACTTACTTGTACATGCATCTTCCCTCACTTGTAAACATCCATGAACATACACACATAACACACACACACACACATACACACGCATACATGTTTAAAAACAGAAAAGAAGCTTCTGTATTCACACGTCAGGCTTCTGCCTGCACAGAACCCTCATACGCCATTCTTGCTGTGCTTTGAGTGCAAAAGCAATCTGACTATTGAGTTGATTTCGTATTAAACTGAAGTTTGAACTCTAGAGGGTGGGCTTGGTCGTACATGCTTTGGCATACTGGGCGGGCTTTCTCTTTCATTTCTATGATTTCCTACAGGGAGCCACCCTCTAAGAAAGCAGGGCCACTGAACTGCACATATTTGCTGCCTTTGTTGTGTGTGCTAAGTGTGACCTAAACCTGTAATCCCAGGGCTTGGAAGGCAAGACAAGAGGGCCAGTAGTTCAAGGCCAGCTTTGGTTGCATAGCAAGACAGAGGTCGGTCTGAGCTAAATGAGACCCTGTCTCAAAAACAACAAGGCAAATAATAACGGGTTTCTCATTCCAGGGGCAAGAGAATGTGACCAGTCCTAAAGTCCATCCACAAGAGGAAGCAGAAGTAGGAGAAAGTGACAGGCTTTGGTCCTGTTGATTTTATCATAGGCTACATGGTATTGTGTGATGTTTAGCTGAGTCAAGCTGTGTTATCGGTACCAAGTTGACTTGCTGAGCTCTGCTCGGTTGGTTTGGGCTGAATGGAGCTGCGTGTGGTGAATTGTGTTGAGTTCGTTGTCTTGGACTGTTGCGTTGGGTTTAATTGGTGCTGCACTGGGTTAGACTGAGCTGTGTGTGTTGAGTTGGGTTGCACCGGGTTGTGCTGTATTGAACTGGGCTGAGCTGTGTATGAGTTGTACTATGGAGGGATAGGTTGTGTTGGGTTGGGTTGGCTAATACTGGATTCGCTAGAGTTGGGCTGTACAGGGTTGAACTGAGCTGTGTATTGTGAGCCACACTGTTGACTTGTGTTGTGCTAGACTGTGTTAGATATGCTGGGCTCTGCTAGGCTCTATTATATTGGCTTGGGCCATGTTGTATCAGGTTGAGCTGAGCTGTACTGATGTGCTAGGTTGGTTTTTTTTTACTGTGTTGTATTGTGCTGTGTTGATTGGGTTGAGTTGTACTGAGTTTAACTGAGCCATGTGTGGTGACTTAAGCTGAGTTGGTTGTTCTGGGCTATTATATTGTTGAGCTGGGTCTTGTTGGATTGTAGTGGGTTCTATTGTGTTGTTGGGTTGGGTTGTACTGGGTGAGGTAAACTGTTGTGTACTGAATTTGCACCATGTAGAATTGGCTCGTTCTGGGCTGTGTTGTATTGAGCTGTGTTGTATTGAGCTGTGTCATTTGGCACTGGGTGGAACTGAACTGTGTGTAGCGAGTTGTACCGTTTTGAGGTGGGTTGTACTAGTCTGTGCTGCTCTGCACTGAGTTGTACTGTACAGTAATTGGGCCATGGTGCATTGAGTTGTGCTGTCCTGGGGCTGAACTGGCCTGTGTATGGGGGGTTGCACTGTGCTCAGTTTGCTAGACTGCACTGTGTTGGGTTGTGCTATGCTGAGTTGGGTTGAACTGGGTTTGGAGAGTGATGGTTATAGGGCATTCATTGTATTGGCCCTGTCATGGCTGACCTGCACACGGGCCTCGGTGAGGTCGGTCCTCATAGCCAGCTGCTCCCGTGCATACACGTCAGGGTAGTGTGTCTTCTGGAAGACTTTCTCCAGCTCCTCCAGCTGGTAGCTAGTGAAGGTGGTTCGGTTCCGCCGCTTCTTGCCTTTGTTACTCTCAGAGTCGGTCTTTTCCAGAGGGCTTGGTATTTCAGCGCTAGCTCGATCCTGGGGTCCCTTGGCCCCTGTCTCCTTCACACTGAGGTAGCTGTTGTCCATGCCCACGGGTTCAGAATCAGGGGGCAACTCTGGCTCTCCCAGGTTGCTCTCTTTGGCTGAGGAAGAGAAAGGAAGGTTAGAAAGTTGAACCTGGGAAGGGAGAGGTGAGGACACTTTACCCTCCCAGAGGCACACTGAGTACCAGGCCAAAAAACTCAAGGTCTTTACTCTGGCTTTTCATCAACATGCTAGGTGACTTTAGGCAAGTCTGTCCCCTCCCTCACCCTCTGGCACCAATGTCATGTAGCTCTAGGTTGGCCATTCTGATCTTGGTGGCTTTCTCGCCACTCTCTGGTTGTGAGGCTCCTCCCCTACAGGGGATCAGAAGAGCCAAAAATCTCTTTGGACGTGGATCCAATGGCCATCTGACACAATACCGAGGCCACCTTTGGTAGAGGAGAACTCTTTCAGCTACAGTGGACTTGGTGAGAAAGAGAAAGGACAGCATTGAGACACATAGTTTGGTCTTCATGGAGTTCAACAGAGAAGCCTTGGAGACTGTCTCAGACTTTAGTGCTGAGACCCACCCCACACACACCCCACTCCACCTGTAACACTGTCTGCAGAGGGCCCTTTAGCAGGTGGGGTTCACTGAGGTGTGAGTGCTTGCTGGGGTCCCTTTCACCACAGCTGCCACTGTCTATCACAGCTGGGAAGCCCTCACTCCGGGGGATGTCCTCTTTGGGGCCACAGAGAATCATCACAAACACAGCTCACAGCCCAGGCCCTGCCTGCTGCCTGCTGACACAGTGAGACTCCCATGGTGGATTCCTGAAGCTCAGAGCTACAAGGAACCAAGCCAAGCCACACAGGTCAAGAGTGGGGAGGTAGAGACCAGGGTAGGAGGGTAGGAGCTTCTGGCTCACCCATCCATCTGAGTGTACACACTTGCCTCACAAGAGCCTCAGAGTCTGGGCTCCAGTGCCAGACACCAGGGCTTCTGTGCCACACCCCTGGCTTCACAACTCCACTTTTTCAATGAACCGTTTGTGGCCCAGTTTTCCCCTGTATAATATTGAGGTGAATGAAGAGATCCATGGGATATTTCTTGTGGGTTGTGAGAAAGGGAGAGGTACTCAGCCAGCTGGCTGTGTAGCCTTCTACCATTACAGACCCCTTGCAGGTTTGCAGGCCCTGCCAGCACAAAGGGAGTGTGACTCAGGACAAGTCCTCTGTGAGAAAAGTCCCTGGGGGTGCGGACACATGTATACAAGCATCGTAATGGGAATCAAGGCGTGTCTCCAGATGCGGGAAGCCCCTTTCTGGCCATATTCCTTATTTGAGACTTGGGAAGAAGGAGATAGGTTCAGTGAGAGAACCTTTAATAAGATGTGGAAAATCCTTAAATATGCACAGGTTCTGTCCATTCACAACAAGCGTGTGTGGTGAGCATAAATATCATCCACTCTGACCCTGTTTCTTCTTCTGGAAACAGGTCCATGCAATTTGCATTTTGGATCAGGATACTGCCTCTAACCTTGATCTGATGCCATCCAGACTGGGAGTTGGGAGATTGATGCTTCAAGTTTACCAGCCTCCCTGTGAGCATTAGGGAAGGTGAGGAAGACTTTCTGCCCTTTCCCATCTCCTTCCAGCTCTAGCACTGAAGAAAGGGAAGAGGGGGTACCCAGAGCAGGCCTGGAAGCAGCTCCACTTCTGTGGGGGTGGCTGACCAAACCAGTGGCATTACAGATGACAGCCATGTGAGCCCAGCTTACACAGCTAGCGAGCAAGCACAGCTTCGGTGACAGCTTTGTGCGAATTAATTGCAATTGGCAGCAGGACCAAGAGCTTCCAGCAAAGATATTTATCTTCCTGGCAGACAAATAAGTTTTATGTTTTGGTTTTTTCTTTTCTTTCTTTCTCTCTTTCTTTTTCTTTTTTTAGAAAAGAAATCCCACCCAGCTCACCCAAAATAAGCATTCCTCTTGTGCAACTTCCTGGCAGCCAGGCCAGGGAAGGCAGCCCCCACCCCTCCTGGCCTAGCCCTGTTCCCCAGGCTCATCCTTGCTCCATGAACCCCAGTGGTATCTCCCGGCATCCAGCCTGGAGCTGGGATCACCCCATGGGAATGAGGGCCAGTTGAGGGCAGCTACATAGAAGCCAGGGTTGGAAGCACTAATTCTAGCTTCTCATTTAAACTGAGGGGTGGGGGGGGAGCTAGAGAAAAAAAAAGAGTATGTCCTAATTATCCACAGAACAGTCTCCTGCTCCTGGGACTACCCTACCAGGGCATAGGACCTGTTTCCAGGGAGAAGAAATCCAGGGCCTCTCAGCACCTATTTAGTCCTGCCTCTGAGGGCAAGGGACTAAGATGAAGTTCAAGGCACCCTCAGTATGGAGCTAGTTCTTGGCCCAGCAGGAGAGGATGGCAGAGTTCACAGTCTTCTGATGAGAAAAGGGTAAAGGTGTAGCCCTACCCACACCTAGCCACCCACTGGAACGAGTGACTGGGTGATGGGGACATAGCAAGGTGTGTCCTGAGATCAAAGCCCCAGAAGGAGTGTGTGTGTGTGTGTGTGTGTGTGTGCACGCGCATGTGCGCATGTCCACTAGGCTGGTTGAGCAGAGAGCTCCAGGGATCCACCTGGCTTCAGATCCTCAGTGCTGGGATTACACGCCCAGCTGCTTTAGGTATGTTCTTGGGTTCTATGCTCACACTTGTGTGGCAGGTGATTTACCAACTCAGCCGCTTCCCCAACCTTCAATGCCAGTGTTTTAACATTTGTTGCTTATGTATGAATGTGCACCACATGAATATCAGGAATTACGGATGGTTGTGACCTACCATGTGGGTGCTGAGAACTGAATCCAGGTCCTCTGCAAGAGCAGCAAGTAGTCTTAACCACTGAACCATCCCTCCAGCCTGTCTGGTTTTTTGTTGTTGTCATTTTTTAATTATTTAAAAACAATTTTTAACTTTACATATATTTTGATCATATTCCCACCCCTCCCACAAGTCCTTCCAGACCCTCTCCCCATCCCTACCCCTCCAACCTTATGTTCTTTTTCAGAAAACAAACAAAAGCTTTTTTTTTTTTTTTGGTTTTTTGAGACAGGGTTTCTCTGTGTAGCCCTGGCTGTCCTGGAACTCACTCTGTAGACCAGGCTGGCCTCAAACTCAGAAATCCGCCTGCCTCTGCCTCCCAAGTGCTGGGATTAAAGGCGTGCACCACCACCACCCTGCTTAAACAAAAACTAAATACAACCAAGAAGACAACATAATTTACCCCCCTCAAAAATCTCACCAAACAGTAGCCAAACAAAAGGGCACGGGCACGTGCACACACACACGCACACACGCGCACACACACTATGGAGTCTGTTATATGCTCGTCACCTACATCATAACATGAGGTCTGCCCTGGAGAGGGGTTGATAGAGCCACTGTCACTCCATTGGAGAAACCTGACTTTTCCCTCTCCCAGCAGGTATAAATGACAGCTCTGTTGCTAAGCTGTACCTTAGCCAGCACGCTAACTTTGATTATTGATTTTCTTGCTTTAAATGCTGAAGCTGGGCTCCTGCTCTAGACAATAAAGGAACATTCTCCCAAGGTCTGTATCCATACGTACCATCTCAGAATGACAGCCTAAGGTCTGTATCCATACGCACCGTCTCAGAATAACAGCCTAAGGTCGGAGACTCAGGCTGGCTGGCTAATAAGGCCCCTGCAACCTGGGGTCCCTGAAACCAGGACATTCATCTTTAGCCAGCCCATGTTTGTCCTCTGGGGATCTGGTTTATTGTTCCTGGTCCAGCTCTCCAGGGTCTTTCCTCAACCCAGGTTCAGGAACCATGGGACACAGCTCTTCTGTCTGAAGTATGCCATCTATCTAGCTTAAAGGCTATGGTTCCAGCCACGACTCCCTATGTGATCTTGAGTAGCCAGGGTCTGCTTGGATCAAGTAGGGCCCAGAGATGAGGGAAGCATGTGAGGCCCTGTGTGACGCCAGCCAAAAGATCCAGGGGAGCTGGCGAGGGAAGTAGCCTAGTGTAGTTCAAAATCTGGCTCATGCTGGCAGTCCTGATCAATAAGATGGGCCTGGCTCCACAAGGTGAGTCTGATTACTCCTGTCTACAGGAGGCCGTTGTCCTCCTGGGTTCCCTGCAACCCTCACCTCTTACCACCTGCTCAGAAAATCTTGCCTTCTGGGTGCCTGCAGCTGCTCTCCAGGAAGTCTCTGTCCTCCATTCAGCCCCCACAGCCTGGGGTTTTCTGATTAGTGAACAAAGCCCTCAGTGTCTGACTCCCCAACTGCTCAAGGGGAGCTTCTTGTCACTCGCCCTGTCTTAGCTCATAGCATAGGGAGGCACAGGCCCAAATATGTGGGGAGAGGCTGTGGAAGAAAAGATGAGTCAGGGCCAAGAGGCACGACGGTGTTCCCTCTTCATGAAGCCACTCTGCACAGCTGTGTGCTGTGGCCCCACTGCAGACTTGCAGAGGGCTGTTGTTGAGCAGGTGAGTGGACCAGGCGTGAATCAAGGTACTCAAGGGGAGCTGAGCACACACATGCCACTTCCCAAGACTGATGGTTCACACAACTGGAGGTGACTGAGGGAAAGTGGGTGGGAAAAAAAAGCCAGGATGGGCCTTAAGGGACATTTCTCTTCACATAGCAAGCAGGACCAGCAGGGAGGGGGCCGGCATATAAACCAGTAGTTCTCACCTTCCAAATGCTCTGACCCTTTAATACAGGTCTTCATGTTGTGGTGACCCCCCGAACCATAAAATTATTTTCCTTGCTATTTCATAACTGTAATTTTTGCTACTGTCATGGATCATAATGTAAATGTCTGATAGGCAGGATATCTGATATGTGACCCCTGTGAAATGATCTTTTGACCCTCAAAAGGGTCACAACCCATAGGTTAAGAACTGCTGGTCTAAACCATCATCCATCACCTACCAGAGGGTAGTTGTCTCTGTGTCAAACCACTGCATTGCACAAGAGATGTGGCCTCCAGGAGGGCCAGTTTGTCCAGCTGTGGAATCCTTCTCCACCACCCTGTGACCCCAGTACTGGAGTAGGCTGAGCAGCAACAGAGGCCTGCT